CTTTAGGACAATACTTGCATTTAAGCTTTTTTGTTCCCGGAACTTCAATTATATGCTTCCATGCAGGATCTTGCCTATTTCCAGGAGCATTTCTAGGCAATTTTCTGCCCCCAAGAGTAGTGTTACTTACACTTGCAGAAGCCCCAGTGCTACTACTACCAATAGCACTTGATGAAGCCATATGATTTCAAACTATATTTAATCAAAGTTCAGATAAATGCATTTAGTATAATTAAATGCATGATATAAGCAAGTATTATATTACAGTGGCACAGAAATAGCAAAAATAAATGCATAGACTCTTGGCATGTTTTTGAAGCCATGACAAAACTGTGATTCAACTCAAATCAACCAATTTATATAATTAGGTCCAGGCCACTAATTTCACACGTCCAGAAGCAATAAAATTTGGATCATTTTTAATAATAAAACAATCATTTCACACGTCCAGATTCAACTCAAACAATTTATACAATTTATATAATTTGGATCATTTTTAATAATAAAACATAAAACATTGTTTAGATTTGAATTAAAATTAAATACTTCTACTTTCAAGTTTCAACAATATTTATAAAAATTAAATACAGTCAAATATTTCTACTTTCAACAATATATCAAATACTTTAGGAAAATTCAATATTTATTTTATTATAAATAAAAAACTAGATCTGTATTAAAATAAAAAAATAAAAATTACTTTAGGAAAATTCAATATTTCTTTTATTATAAATAAAAAACTAGATCTGTATTAAAATTAAAAATAAAAATTAAAAAATTATAAAAATTCAATATTCAACTATATCACATATCAGTATGAAAGCAAAAAAGGAGCAAAGAAAAATGAGCAGCGATCTGAAGAAGAAACAAGGATGAAGAATGATATATCTCACTTAGTCACTAACAAAATACGAGAACTGAAGAATGATATAGCAGCGAAAGCAAAATAGGAGAAGTAAAGAAGCAAGAAGCAAGGATGAAGAAGCAAGCAAGCAGTAACTGAAGAAGCACCGATTTGAAAATACCTCGCTTAGTCACTTTTATACGAGAACTGAAGAAGCACCAATTTTTTTTATTTTGGGGGAAGAAGCAAGCAATCAGGAACTCAGCAACAGCAACGCGTACGCGGCGACTTTGAATGCGGTAGGGTTTTTTTTTTTATTTTAAGTTGGGGATGACTTGATTTGACAAAAATACCCCTGTTTTTTTTTTAAAAAAAAAACTCGGTCAACTCGCCGAGTCAACCGAATTTACCGAGTTGACTCGCCGTTTCAACCGTTTCGACCCAAATTCCGTTTCAACCACCGTTTCGACACGTTTTTGGTCATAAAAACGTAGAAAGGGTACGTTTCTACGTTTCGACACTACGTTTTAACAACAATGTCAGTGACTCCCTAAGCTAACCAATCCCTAGAGGCCTATTGCAGCCCTTAAGGTGATTTTGTAAGCCTACGTACCAGAGATTTATCCTGCACTTAAAAGTCAGGGAGTTGTTGCATGTATACCTCTTCCTTCAAATCCCCATTAAGGAAAGTGTTGTTAATATCAAGTCGTCTCAAAAACCAGCCAAAAGAGAGAGCAATGGTTAGTATGATCCGAACTATGACAGGCTTCACAACGGGAGAAAACATCTCATTGTAATCAAATCCAGCCCTTTAATGAAAGCCTTTAGCCACCAATCTAGCCTTGTACTTGTTGAAACTCCCATTTGGTTCTCCTTGACCTTGAAAACCCATTTGCATCCAATTACTTCCCTACCAAGATGTAAGGGAACAAGTTTCCAAGTATCGTTAGTTTGCAAAGCATCAAATTCCAATTGCATAGCCTTGAACCATTTACAACTGTTCAAGGCTTGATTCATTATGGAAGGCTCAACATGTGTGAGAAGAGCCAGATTACGAGCTGTTGTAGCCTTGGACCTTGTGATAATGGAATGGGCTAGTGAAGATGAGCTAAAATCAGTAGAAAGGGTAAACTCAGAATGTCACAGGGGAAAAAAGAGAGGTGGAGGAAATGGAAGATGAAATAGAAGAAAGAGAGGAGAAATCTAGGAGATGTTGGACAAAACTGGGAGAAGATGGGGAAAATTCACCAATGGTAGAAGAAGAACTAGGGGTGTGAGGTGTCACTTGAGTAGATCCAGGTGGTTTATGGTGACCAAGAGAATGTGAAGAAGAATTTGCAGTGTTGTTGATTTGTAGGGAATCAGTGAGATCTGAATTAGCAGCAACTGGGGACTAACTTTGAGACATAAAGGATAAATGAATAGACGATGGAATATGAGAAGTTGGATTAACAGAAGAAGTGAGATTCCTAAACCATGTTGGGTAGCAAAACTTGTATTCATTGAACAAAACATTGATGGAATATAAGAAGAAGTTGGATTAACAGAAGGAGTGAGATTCCTAGACCATGTGGGGTAAGGAAATTTGCATTCATTAGACAAATTTTTTTTCAAAATGTATATCCTTCCATCATGACTAAGGCAGTAGTACCTTTTATGTTTTGGGGAATAGGAATACCCAAGAAATATGCCTCGAGACCTTAAGTCAAGCTTGTGCTTGTTGTATGGTCTAAGAAAAGGAAAACAAGCATATCCAAATATTTTTCGGAAGTCATACTTTGGATTTTTGTAGAGAAGTTTACAAAAAGGAACCTCAAAATTAATAGTTGCAGAAGGGAGTATGTTGATGAGAAAAATAGATGAGATAAATGCATAATCCCAGAATTGCATAGGGAGTGATATATAAGCTTTTAAGGCCAGACTTGTTTCCACTATGTGCCTGTGTTTTCTTTCAACCACACCATTTTGGTGGTGCATGTTGGACAAGTTAGACGATGTGAGATGCCATGGATATTGAAATACTGAGTAAATGTTATGTACTCTCCACCCTAGACTATTTGTAGGGCTTTGAGAGGTTTTTGAAATTGGTTGGTGATCATCATGTGAAACTGTTTAAATACACTTTCGTTTCAGTGGGTAAATCCAAGGGTATATAGTGGGGCATCAACAAAGGATATATAATAGGAACTCCTCCAGGTTGATTTCAGAGGTGAGGGTCCCTATAAGTCAGTGTACACAAGTTCAAAGGGATCTTTGTAAACTACTTTAGAGGGCAACAAAACATGAAGTGCAAAAGTCTTTTGCCATTTTATTAACATGTATGTTACAAGATTTTAGTACATTTTTCACTGACTCAAAATATGGATGTCCTGAGCAACAATGTCAGAGAGAAAATGAAGAATTGGAAAGAATACAAGGCTTTAGGTTGTTGATTTGCAAGACTGACATATTGATAAAAACATTGATACTGTGATTGATGATTAAAATAGGACGTGCTTTGTGGTGGAGGTAAGGTTGGGCCAAAGCTTTCATCATAACAGTGCCAACAAGACTTGGCATCGTGCCCAAACTTGAAGCACAACTGGCAATGCACATCGGTTTTGTTCCCACACACCCTGCTTTGGTTGGAGCGACCTCCAAACTGTCCTCTACCTCGATTTTGACCATCGGAGGAATTTTGTTCTTTATTGTACTAACCATGAGAATCTTCTTTAGTTTGCTTTGGCTGCTGAGTTAGATTTACAATTATCGTTTTAGATAGTGGAGACTTGTTTTGCTTCATTAACAACTACTCATGTGCCATCAATTCAACTACAAAATCTGCTATAAAGTATGGCCTTTCTCTTCCATGTCCAAGCATAAAGGCATTATAATCTGTTGGTAGTCCATCTAGAATCAACTTTTTATGTACTTCAGCAGAAACCAGATTTCCAATAGCTTTAAATAAGTCATATATAGACTTGATTCGTGCAAGATACTACTTGATTGATTTAGTCCCTTTCTTCACGGGTCTGAGCTCAGATCTCAGTTGACGCACTCTAGACTTCATCATCCTCTGGAAAAGCCTATGCACGTTATCCCAAGCTTCAAAAGCATGCTTTACTAGCAGTATATCATTGACTATATGTTCAAGAATGGCAGAAAAGAGCCATGTTAAAATCATCTGGTCCTATGTGGGCCACTGTATATATGACAGACTGAAAATCTCGTTCTCGTGATCTTCGTCAGACTCATGCTTCAGTGGAATCTTAGGATTCACAAGGAATTTGTGAAGCTGGTGAGATGTAATGACTAGTTTTATAATTTGGTTCCAAAGAGGTAATTATTCTCTGTAAGTTTGGCCGAGAGTTGAAGGTTGGAGAGATTAGAGGAAGTTTTAGGCTCCATTCGAACTAGAATTTGACGCGGAAGACATTGGTGTGAACGATATGGCTCAGGCCCTTAGAAAGAGCACTTTGATACCATATTGAAGTTCAATGTGGAAGCCATAAATGAAGAAAAGCTCTGAGTGAGAGACAAAGAGAGGAGAGAGAAAGAGAAGAAGAACAGAAAGTGTACTCTAATCTATATCATACAAAAGGAAAAAAGGTATGTGTTTCAGGACCCTTGTCCTATTTCTAAAGAAGAAAACTGACTCAACATTGAGTCACGGGTTCCAGAACCCAAACTAATAATCCTAACTAAGTAACTGTAAGTGGTTACAGTAACAACTAATAGGTAAAACTATCCACTGTATGCAAACGTAAAATAATAGGATACACCACGGTAAAGTAACAAAGGTAAAACTAGTAAAAGATAACAGCTACTGCTAATAGATGGAATTTTCCCTTCCATTGCACTCAACAAATTATTACTTCTTAACATGACAAGCATCCAAAAAGTTTCAACAGGAATTCTAATATTAGTTGTCCTTGTCACAACTCACAAACTCAAATAATGACCGTGAACTATAAATGATCTCATTTATGTTCATGTAACACCATAAGCATGCATAAATGACCATTAAAAAAAGTCACCCGTTGTGGCAATATTGTTCCATTGACTTCACCAATAAACCAACAAAGAAAAAAGTGCAAAGGCTTGCAAAATAAAGTAGTTTACAAGGGAAAGAAATAGGAAATACTCAAAGCAAATATTCAAACAAAATAAAACTTACATGCGTTCCAACTTCCCCCTATTTACAAAGAATCCGTCATGCTTGATTGCAGAATTATCAACCTCAAAATACTCATCCTGCAGAAAGGACATTTAAATTCAATCAATATTAATATATATATATATATATATATATATATATATAGAACTACACTATTCCTGTTAGTAATAAAAGAGTCATAATAGGCCAAAACAATAAGCAAAGATACCAACCAGCTCAGCATCATCGATGAAAGAGTCTTCTGTATCATACTGATCATCAGGAACATCAAGTAGATCCTCCTCATCACTACTATCCTTACCCTGAAAATGATTCACTATCCCATTATTCCCAACATGGAAGCAACCAAGAAAAATTAATATGATACTTAAATACACATCTATGATATGAATTTATAGAATATATTAATTTATGCTTGTACGGAGCATTGAGTAACAATCTCGGTGAGCAACATACACATACCATGTAAAGGCGTTCAATCTTCTCTATTACAGCACTGAAACGGTTTGTCTGAGGAGCATCTTGTTCTTCAATCTCAGCAGGTTTCCCCTAAAAATGACATGTGAGGGTAGTAAAAATAATGAAGCACAAAACCACATACAATTTCAAAAAGACAAAAAGCTGAAGTTTATGCTGGTATACAAGTACCCAGATGACAAAATAATAAAATACTATAGCATAAAACAAGCTAGACTCAACTCAAGCCATGATTACCTTGACTCCATATAAAAAAATAGATTTACTATATGTACCGTATAGTCATGCATTATGAGAATAAATTCAAAACAACACTTAATATATATATATATATATATGTATATATAAGATGACGTTGCCAGATTCTGATGAACGGTGAACTTTGGCGGATTTACATGTATCTGTTCACTAACTACCACATGTTATACGTCTCTCAAATAGAAAAGCCTTAATATGATCTATCTACTAATCTCAATAGAAAATTCAGCTAAAGAGTTTCAACAAAAAGTGAATATGTATTAAAGAAATAAGTCAAGAACAATAAGTATGAAACAAATACAAAAATCCTGCAAATAATACTGACTGATTTTATGCAAATATAATTTCCTTGAACTTGTGAGAGAATTCCAGGGCCTCACTTATGAAACTAGTTCGCCCAACTAAAATCATCAAGAGAGCCATGATACATAACATTAGCCCCTACTACTCTTAAATCACTTTAAATGAAAGCAAATTTATGAAGTTTAATCAAGATCACCAAATTTAAAAGAGGAACTCATATTAAGTCAAACAGGCACCACCGTTCAACCTAATAAATTTCATGTCAGATAATAGGAGGGCTTGGAGATTTCAGTTTTCCACAAAACACTTTCAAATAATTTTCTGCATGAGCAGTGCTGTATAGAACAACGTGGCATACATTTGTGCTGATTTTCAGTTAACAAATGCTAATTTTATTTTAAAAGAGAATAGTAAATTATTAGACAGAAATCATGCCAGGTCAATCGTAAATGATTTCGCAGAATGTTTTCATAACAATTGGCATTATCCTGACCCAAAATTCTATGCCAAAAGAAAAAAAAATCACAATCACAGTAAACTGAACAGCCTCGCATACAATGCTAAATGCCATCCACATTGCTATCTCGTTAGCGAATAATAATGTATATATGCAGATAGTTTCAGAAAACACACCAACACATACTTGGAATTCGGAAATTAAAGATGCAGAGAAAAGCTCGAATTCGATAGCGAAATGGAAAAAAGAGACTCACCGGAGCGATTCTGGACTCGAGCGCAGGGTTTACGTTGGGACGGTGTTCGGGTGCGGAAGCGGATCCATTGTTAACCTTGCTGGCGTCCTTCATCAGCTTCTTCCACGACACTATGGTGGTCTCTCCCGGCCGGAGCTCCACCGTGAACAATTGCCGGTCGCCCTTTTTCACGAACGACGACGGAGCTCTCAACGACGAATCGCCACCATCACCGCCGCCGGGAGGAGCATTCCCCTCCCCCGCCATGGGAACGGTTATTGATTGGCTTCGAGGCGAGCGAGTTTCTCTGGCGTCGATGCGAAGATTTCACAGAGAATTAGGGTGCGCGAAACATGGCGGAATCGAAAAAGATAAGCCCTAAGACGAAAAAGAAGAAGAAGAAGAAGCGAATTGGTAAGGAGAGAGATTGCGCGGGATTCAAAAAAACGAGAAAGGGCAAAAAAAAAATGGAAAATAGTATGGAAAAATAAAAGAAAAAGAAAAAGAAAAAGGAGTTTCGAGGGGTTTTAAGTTTAACTGCAATTTCGACTCTGTCGTAAAAATTTTCCAGCTCTTTCTTTTCCGAGAAAACGAGTGAGGAAAAAGGTATTTGGGCCGGATCCTATATCCAATTTGACCCCCTTTTTTTTTTTTTTTATGGAATAAATAGTATTGTCCTTAAGTGATGAAAATAATGTTTGAGGTTGTTGAATATGCGTTTCTTCAGTTATACACATTCAGTGACTAATTTAAATTTCAAACTATTACCAGCATATTCAACAAATTTTGATACTAATATAACTGACAGCTTATTTTTTTAAAAGAAAGTTTTTTTTATGTGAAATAACATATTCAAACTAGTTCCTTAATCATTACGCAAAGTGCTATTAGTGAGTTTCAAAATGTATCAGTTAATATGATTATATTCAAATTATTTTCAGAATTACTTAAATCAAATTTAGAAACTACCTTACACATATAAACAAGTTAGAGTGTAAAAAAAATGTGGAATAATTATAATAAGATAAAATAAAAGAGTATCGAGTTAATCCCCGAAAACAAGAAGAGTATAAAGTTTGAGAAGTTAATAGCTCCTATTTATAAGCGATTTGGGTTAAAGGCTATTTATGGTTTGGACTGAATTTGGGTGTTTGGACTTTGGACCATTTGGCCTATCAATATATAAGGTACTTGGAAGTAAAATTTATCCTTATCTAAACTGAAATAGCAATTTGTTACTTGTTCATAATTTGCAAATTAAAAACAATCACAAATTCATTTTTTTGTATATATCAAGGAAAAATAAAGAAATTAATTCATATCCCAATTACATCACCTTATTCTGTCTATAACTAGAGACAAAAAAATTATTATTCAAAGGGTTAAGTGTTTATCATTTTAAATGACACAATTTTGTGTCATTTTTAATAAAATTATGTTATTTTGGTGTGTCTTTGGTTTTTTTTTATATTTTTTCTTTTTATAAAAATGGGGGAAAGAATACAAAAATACATCAAAATGACATAATTTTATTAAAAATAATACAAAATTATGTTATTTAAAATTACAAATATTTTTCCCTTATTTCAAAGTGTTACTTACATATCCATTCATGTTTCAATGCCCATATAGTATTTGGCGCCGTTGCCGGGTTTTGAGGTACCGTTAATCCAAGATCCTTGCAATTTGATCATGAGATAAAAAAGAAAGATAAAAGGCTCAAAAAAAGCGCAAAAGAGAGAAAAGAAAGAGAAGCTTCAAGTTCAACAGAACCAAAGAAGAAAACAATGGCAGACCAACCCCCACCTATTTAGAGGATGTTGGGAGTTTATATGAATCCAGCTTGAGTTCTTCAAACTGCGAGTATTATTAGACCAAACGTGGAGATTAATAATTTTGAGCTTAAGCCAGCATTGTTGCAACTAATTCAAAAATATCAGTTTGCCGAAGAAAGCACAGAAGATCCCTACATTCATCTTGACAACTTTCTGCTTTACTGTGATACTTTGAAGATGAATGAAATATCTCGTGATATCATCTTGCTCAGCCTCTCTTCTCATGTTCACTTAAGGAAGATTTTATGACAGGTTGAATCTTCTCTTATTGACTAAGCTTAAGCCGTGAAGGAGTAGCAATCTTAAAAAGCTAGATAGCTCACGGACTCTATTTTTTATTTTATTATTATTATTATTGCTCATATTATAAGACACATTATTGCCGCAGACATACATATAGTTTAAGTATTTTTTATTTCTATAAAATATTTCCTCAATTAACCATACAATAGGATTTTCTTTTCGCACTACGGATTTTTTTTTTTTTTTGGGTAGGTAAGGAAAGGACTCTTTTACCTCAGTATATGTTCACTTTTTTATGATATCGTTATACATTGGTTGATGGTGGAATCCATATTTTAAGACACGTATCCATGTTTTTTATTTATTTATTAGTTCTTGATAAAATGGGACGTAGGATTATTGAATATTTTATATAAAAAGTTTATACAAAGCACTATTAGGTGGTGTTTGTTTCAGGTTATTTCAAGACTTTCCTATGCATCTAAGGTTGACAAACCGGGCAAGCCACGTTTGGTAGACCGATTTTGAACTTTTCCCCAGGCACCACGGATACATAGCATTTGAGAATTGCACGCAAAAATTACTCTTCAAAAAGACAATTTGTAGATGGTATTTTAGTTGCCCAGCTAAATGGGCAAAGTAGAGGACCAATGATGTAGACTAAAATACCCTCATCAATTTGAAAAAGAGAGGATATTTTAGTATATTTAATCAATTATCCCATCAATATTTTACCTTCAACTAAACAGACACTCAAAAAATTTAACCCAATTTTTTCAGTAATATTTTACTCAACCAAACAACTTCTTTTACATTTTCCTACCAAACTCACTTTTCAACCATTTCCCTATCAATTACATTTCTCTAGTATTCAAAAAATTTCTCCTCGTCCAAATGCCCCTTACACTTACAAACAGCTTTTATTCTATGTCACTGTGGTGGATAGATGGCTGATATTATTATATCTTAAGAATCCTGTAAAGTGATTCGAATTTAGTCAGTAGATTAGAAATAAAAGCTGTGGAGATTTTTAATGCTAACAACTGTTTGTGTTTTCTTGAATCAAGCAAGCAGAATGGTTAGTATGAGCATTTTAACAAATAGGTTGATTCTCTAATAGGTTCAGTGACACAGCATTACATTTTCTTTGAATCTAATAAGATGTTATGTTCTTAATAAACATGGAAAAAATTTCCATCAGTTCATCAATTAAGCAACTAATCTGGACGAGTTAGGCATGATCATAAAAGCGACAAAGCTCACTCTATCAAATTTTTAACACAGCAGTATATATAGGACTTAAATCAAAACCACCAATTAAGTTGGAACAATCTCGTATCAATTAATTCATGTGTTTGGTAATTTATCACTAGTTTCTCAATAACAATATAACTTGAAATTAATTAATTTACTACTAAAAAACACTCAACTTCAAACGTAAATGTTTTCATCCAAATTTATACTAACTTTCAGATGAATGCATGATTAATTTTAGGGGAATATTACAATTGTCCTTGTTGTCTTATGCTGCAGAAAGAAGACGTGGGACTCACTATTATAGAGGGAAAAGGCCGGTGAGATTTTCGAAATGAGAGAACAACTCTCCAGTTTTAGATAAAATACAAATTGAGCTATGTAAAAATGTTTCCCCACGTTTTTTTGAAAAGAAAAAAAAAAGATTCATTAATGTTTCTACTTCTAAGAATTTTATAAACAACACAAAAAAGCATCAAACTTGTAATCAACATTAACAATTAATGGTGGTCATAATAAATCTAGTATTGATATTAGTTTTACATTTCTACTCACAAGGGTGAAACCAAAATCCCACTAGTTCAATTCTTTCCCTTTTATGCCTATTTTTTCAGCCAGCTCTTCCATTCCAGGGTAGGCCTAGCTACACTTGAAAAATCATCAATAAACTCGGGATCTAGGACCGTATCATCAATCTATAAGACACATATAAGATATTGAAATTGTTGGCGGAAAAAAAGGAAGCAAGGAACATTTCCTTTGTCCTCCGGTAATATTGTGGTATAGGGTCATAGTAGTCAACTATATATCTTTTAGTGCAGTGCCTAATTTCACTATCCAGCATCTGCTTAGAGTAGAGACTATAGATGGTGTTAAGTCGATCGTTTGCAATCTTCAGATTTTGGACTCTTTTAACTTGAAAATTTTCCTTTACATATATATACGTTTGGACAGCTTTCCGAAACTGGCTTGAAGATGACTTGGTCTCAAAAAAGTAAAGAGAAAAACCTATTTTATCTTTCAATGTAGGAGATTGGCATTCCGTGAAGCACAACAGTTCCTTAACATCTATCAAACCTTTTTGCAAAGACTCGTGTATAGCTATACCACCATGACATTCAAGTGAACATTATCCCTCATGGTAACCAAATAAATGCACTTTTTTTTTCCCAGTAACTCGCTAATCGCTATGGTAAATATTTTTAACCATTTTCATTTATTTTAGCATAAAACTGGGCTGATTTTCTTTGTAACTACAGGAGGGACACTTGTCATTCTCCAAGATAAACTTAAGTGAGGTGTGATTTGAGTTTATTAAATTTAATTGAATTTCAAAGTAGTAATAATAATGGAATTAACAAATCTTATGCAACATCAGATAAAGTTATTTCCTGCAATCGCATGACAACATAGTTTTGGGGTTTGAAAAAAAATACTAAGTATTTTATTAAAATTTATTAGGAAGTAAAATTTTCAAAATACTCAGTTTTTTTTATCTTAAAACTCAAAACAATGTCTTTTTTGAGACTTTATCTTGAGAAATATTTTTCGCAATAATAATGTGCATAAAGTTAGCTATTTTAACATGAAAAGCCCTTTAACTCAACAGAAAAAATACAAACTATAATGAAAGCTTGTCAATATCAAATACAAAGTAGAACATATTCTCTCGGTGAAAAGAATTCACCTCAACTTAAATTTCTATATTAAGTCATTAGGATTAATCTAGTGGTAAAGGATAATCTGGGTAGGTTGTATTAGGATTAGTCTAAAAAAAATTCCTATATTCAAGTCTCCTAATTATAACTAGATAATAGCTCCTTGTCTACCATAACTCTAGCTATTACAATAAAGCCCCACTTAACTCTAAACCCTAAAGTACACTATATCATTAATTTACAAACTTCTCATCTCAAACAAATCCCCACAAATAAAACCTATGAGTAATATTAGAATAATATTGTCAAACTTGATTACTCAATTGTAAGTGAACAATAGTATAAAATGCTTTTTATTCTCTTATCTCACATATTTATTTTCTCTTTTATCTCTTATCCTCCTATCTCTATTTGTTATTTTATCCCCTTATCCCCAATTTTTCTCTTATCTATCTCTATTTATTTTTCTTATCTCTATCATTACTCTTACCCGTATTTTTTTCCTTTTTTTCATTTTATATTTATTTTCTCTCTT